TTATATGTGAGAAGGAGGATTTTAAATTATTTTCTTGATTTAACAGGAAGCCAATGAAGAGAAACTAGAATAAGAGAGATATGATCTCTCTTACTTAATTTCCATCAGAAGTCTGGCTGCAGCATTTTGGATCAGCTGAAGGCTTTTAACTACAGTTTGTGGACTTCCTGATAGTAAAGAATTACAATAGTCCAGCCTTGAAGTAACGAATGCATGGACTAGTTTCTCAGCATCACTCCTGGACAAAATTTTTCTAATTTTGCAATATGATGCAAGAAGGAAACCCTAGAAACCTCTTTGATATGGGAAATGAGAAGTTCTGATCAAAAATAACACCAAGATTTTTTACATTACTATCAATAGATATACAATACACAATAGGTTATTACTTCAACAGTGTAATAGAGTTTATTAGAACAATCCAACCAACAGTAGGAAAATTAATCATAGACACCAGTTATTAAATTAAAGCTGGGTTCCCAAAGAACAGATTTACATTTTTGCTATTGAACTACATACCAAGAAATAGTCTCGGGCCAAAATAGATTTCTGAGTTGCCTGTGAAGTATGAGAAATGTAGACCTCTTAGGTCTCCAGAGACCCACTTACCCAGAATGATGCAACAGTTTGTTCTTTGGCTGCATACTGTCATCTTTCATGCATATCTTTGTAATGTTTGAAAATTTCCCATCTTTTTTGAGAATTTAGGTCTTCATCATTACTTTCTTATCTTGGTGATTTTAACATGTGTTTGCCTTTAATGAGTATTGCTGATTACTTCATTTAATGTATTTTTACCTGTTTGTGTTTTTTAAATCTGTTTTAAATTTTCCTTTTCTTCAACAATGATACTGTGTTTGATAATTCTCAACTATTCATTTATATTTTTGAAAAATCCTTCCTTCCACCTGCTAATTAGAGATTATTTCGGCATCTCCAAAGATTCGATGGAACCATTAGTTATTTTACTGCAATGTGATATTTTTTATTAAGCTGTGGATCTTAAAAGATCTTTTTTATGACTATCGGTAAGGCACTAAAGTTTGTGACACAGGTAGGCCCATTGTTAGTTTTTTTCATTGATTTATGATATATATATGTATCCATGCCTAAAAATATAGAATTATTTTCGAAATTATCTGAACAGAGGAGACATCCAATTTTCTCTTCTAAGGTTACTGGTTGTATTTTATTTGAACAACATATAGGTTACTTGTCTAACTTTTATTCCAAATCTATTTTTTAAAAACTATTTCCTTGACGTCACCGTTTCCGCGCAGTCTTCTTTAAGGTTGCCATGGGTTACAGGCTCACATGTCAGATCGGGGAGAATTGACGTCAGAGACGACTGCCGATTGGTTCTCAACCGTATCCGGTGGGGCAGCGGTCCAAGGCTCGGAAAAAAAATCGTAGCGAGCAGGAAGGTCTGGTAACGGTGTGCTTTGAGAAATACATCGCAAGTCCCGACTCTTTATCGAAAAGCTCGTTGGGATTTTACGGTTTTTGTGAGTATTCGTGTCCTTTCACCGCTGACTACCAAGGTGGAATTTTGCTTCCTGCGTTTCTCGTTTGTTTATGATAGAACTCAAGATGGCGTCATTGGAGGAGAGCTTTGCCTTTGCACAGAGCCAGCAAGCCAGTCGTTGACGCACAGCGAAGAGCAGACATAGTTTTAGGCAGTTGTAAACAACCTTTCCTTTGCATTTTAGTGCGTTTAGGGCTACATTTTTAAATCCCATTTATAGTTAAATTACTCGCTCGTAGTAGCTTGAATTCAGCCATCGGCCTACTTGTCCTACAGTGTTACTCCTACAGACAGGAAATTAGGTTGAAACTCTAATAAGCGGTTATATGACCTACATTTGCATTTATTACCTTTCATGTAAAAATAAAAAAGGAAAAAACAGTTTCATTTTTCTCATAAGCTCCGTTATTTTTGCATGGCAGAAATGTCTTTACTTTAAATTACGTGTATTTACGATGCGATGGACGACAGGTGAAATTCTGCAACTGAACCAAAGGTTGTGTTTGTTTTTGGTGGATTCAAGACGCCATAATGGGTGTTTAGATTAGTCTATTACATAAGTGGTAAACTCGCTACTAATGGGTGTTACATGTGGGTCCAAAAACAGAATCATCTTGAGCTTACCAAGTCGGTTTTAGGTTGGATTAAACCAAGCCTGCCAACTTTCAGGTGCAAAGCTATATTATTTTACAGAATCACTTCCAGGACTGTTTGATAACCAATCGGTCATTTTCCTTGTGACATTGGAATCGACATGGATCCCGTTTGGTCTCCTTTTCACACACACAGTTCACTTTCAGGCCTGGATTGGATTGTTCTGTTAGTGGCTCAGGTCCTCATTTATTCCTCTATAATGCACACATTGATTAGTGCAAGAGCTCAGAGGCTGTGCTGCTGTAGTAAACATAGATGGGTTGAAATCAGAAGTTAAATTTAGAGCTTTAGCTTCCAGGATCATTATATTTTCTCTCTCATTTTTTTCGTTGTAAATTCTGTGTGTTATCACTGTCATTTGGCCTGTTTAACAGCCTATTAATATCTCAATCCTTCTAGCTTTAGGCCTGTGCATGATAAGGCCCCAGGCAAGACTTGGGTTTTTAAGACTGGAGGAAATAAGTGAAGCTTAAAAACAATCTGGGCTACAAAATGTCTGCCCTTTTTTTTGTTACTTATCCACATAAGTGTGATCACATCATATGACCAAGCTCCATGGCAAACTAAACAAACCCAATCTCCCTGCATCTTCTCACTCTGGTTTTACTTTTCTCACATTCTCGTCAGTTCTGTCAGTCTATGACTAAACCTTACAGACACTTGATTTAGATATGTTTTCCTAATAATTATAATCAAAGTTCTGCAGTTATTTTCTGACACCATCCTCTTTGTCTTATCTCCAGCTCTGAGGTTAGAGGTCATAGAACAGGGTTGCCGCTGTCGTCATGGCATCTGGAAGTACGAGCAGTGAGGAGGAACGGAGCCTCAGGGAGTGTGAGCAGTACGTGCAGAAACACAACATCCAGCAGCTGCTGAAGGACTGCATTGTCCAGCTGTGCACCTCCAGGCCGGACCGGCCCATGGCCTTTCTAAGGGAGTACTTCGAAAGGCTGGAAAAGGTTTGCTTTCAATATAGTTTGGAATAGTAGTTACTGGGTAGTAAACAAACGAAAAGCAGAGCATCACACGGCCATAATATACCATACAAATAATTCATATTTACACTCTCTTCTAAACTCCTTTTATTTATAAAAACATGTGGTGTCATTATCTAGTTAGCTAAGACAGTTGCCATTTATGCATCCTGGGAGCAAGATTTAGGAATTTTTTCCTCTAGTATGTTTTTAAAAAAATGCTTTTTTTTGTCAGAAATCTCCATCACAGTGAACATTTCTTAACATTAAAAGCCAAATTATGACCAGCCAAATCAGTCTGCTAAGGGGCCTTACGTGGTGTTGCTGTGGATCCATCCGCCTCTCTGTGTTCCCTGTTGTGCCCGGTGGTTTCTCTTTTTTGGTATTCTCACATTAATGCAGTAAACGGAAACATCAATTGATGCACAGGGCTTTCTAAAAAAAAAAAATAATAATAATCCAGTTCTTTTAACTTTTTTTAGAAAGCTATTTTAAAGTTCTGTTTAGAACCAGAAGGATACAAAAAAAGCTCTTATTAAGGCATGAATCAACTTAACCCATTCCTGTCTAGACCATTTAATTATAGATTTTGTTTCAGTTGTTTTATAGTGTTTGGATCCTCTGTGTTAAATGTTTCTTGGGTTTAGGTTTTGCGTCTTAACTCAAAGAAGAAAGCATTATTGATTCAAAAATAATACAACAGAAAAATAACATATGCAATTTAAAAAAAACAGTGTTTAAAGGAGAAGTCTGGTTGGCAAGGAATAATCAATAGATCATTATTTATACCTAACACTAATACGTTGATGGTGATTTAGTTAATTTAGCCCTAATCAGTAAAAAATAAAATAAAAAATATATTTTTCGTTTTGATCACTGAGTCTGGGAGCGGCCATTTTTGCCCAAATATAGTAACACCTCCCTCCTGACATCATCTGGCAGTGTCGCCGTAGTGCAGTTAGCCAAAGGCCATTCTCCCCGCTTTACAAGCAAAATCAATGGGAACTACTAGACACATCTGCAATCAAATAAAAGTAAAAGTAAATTAGTAATTTCACCTTTCTGATTCCTGATCCTCCACGGACGGGTTTGTCGTTGGATTGCCAACTTGAAGAGGGAGGATTTGTGATCAAACTTCTGACCAGAGAAAAAACCCGTAATATGTAGCCAACATTTGGAAGGAGAATGTTTTCAAGATGACTTGGATAATAGCGCATTGTGACAAACACCAGATACAGCACTGGGACTTGATCAACAGCCGATACCGCACCGTGACGTCACAAACCAGTAGGTGGCAGTAGTGTTCTTTGACAAACATGGATGCCTCCAGTAAAGCACATTCAAATACAGTTACTCTCAATTAAAAGCATCATTTATTGAACAGCATGTAATAATTTTATATTTAAAGTACTTTCATAAGTTTGAATTCTGAATATGAGCAGACTTCTCCTTTAATGCAAATGTAAGTTTTGGTAAAGAGTATAAGAGATAAAAGTATGTTCCCTGTGAAAAAAACAAAAACAAAGATTCTTTTCATAAACCAGAGATGAGATAAACGATAAAGCTCCCAACGGTTCCTCTCGCCCCAAACTGGAATTAAAGGGTTTTGGAAAAATCTGGGAGCTTTCTCTTTTTTCTAAAAGAACAATCAATCAGCGTGTACTACTACAACAGTATTCAATAAATGAGCCTCTTGCTCACTGAAGATTTCTACAGAGTTAGTGTTCCTGATAATTTAGACTAACATGCCTATTATCATAATTATTGTTATTTTCTTTTTATTACTATTTATTTATTATTTTTATTATTGTTTAAGCACAGAAGTTATCCATTGACAGGAATTATTTGTTTTCAAGCTTGATCAGCCATGACTTGGATTGCTGGCTTGGAATTTATCCAAATAGTTTCTTGTTATCACTAAAAGCACCACGACACATTGAGGACGACACTCTAAAGGAGCGTTCACAGTGAACAGGAACACAGCAACAGGTGTTACACCATATTTTGTGACCCATCATGAATTTTGACCCATGAGGTACACAGTATGTTGTAACACCGGTAAATAGATCGATGCTCCTCCTATTGGAGAACGTGGTGAAGAGAGCTGAGTGGAATTTCATAGGAGTGTCTGTGACACGGAGCTAAAATATCACCCACCCACACAGAAATTTGTATTTGATGTGAACACACCTTTACTGTAAAAAGAGAACATTACACATTTTCACTAAGGTTGTAAAAAAAATGAAGGGAAAACAAAGATTTAAGATCTAGAAATAACAGTCCTGAAATAGACAAAACTGCCTTAAAAGATACAGACAATCAAACTGTTGTAACACATTGGTGGAAAAAAATCCCCACTGCAAGTAAAGTCAGTATTTCCACAGATGGAAAGACTTCATGTAAAGTCCTGGAATATTAAGCCCAACACGTGTAAACAGCTGATTGAACTTTAAAATGTCAGGATGTTAGCAATAAACAATGCAAGTCACTGATAAAGCAGCTACCAAATAACACAGTATTAGTAAAGCAGAGTTATCCCAGAGTCTTATGATCTAAAAAAGCCATCCTATAATATACCATGAACCTGATCTCAGTTCTGCATGGTGCGTCCCAAACCTGAGCAACAAGAGCAGAAAGTATCTTCAAATCTAATCTGTTAACTAAACCTGTCAGGCAGGCGACTGGCAGAATGGTGAACCCTGTAACATCTTTTCCTCTTTCACTTCACCCTGCAGGAGGAGGCCAAGCAGATTCAAAACCAGCAGAAGGCCAGCAGCTCCCGCTCAGACTCTCGTGATGAGGAAGTGTCTCCGCCCATGAACCCTGTGGTGAAGGGTCGCCGGCGCAGAGGAGCCTTCAGTGCAGAGGTTTACACAGAGGAGGATGCAGCCTCATATGTCAGAAAGGTAGGCAGCGATCACAAATATGATCCAAGGGGTGCAGGTGTGGATTTGCTTCAAATGTTTTCTTGCTCTTATTAAAGGTTATTCCAAAGGACTACAAAACCATGGCTGCTTTGGCTAAAGCCATTGAAAAAAATGTGCTCTTCTCACACCTTGATGACAACGAAAGAAGGTACCTGCTGTCCAATGTTTCTGAAATATTCTATAATAAAGTGAAACGGTTTTATTTATCCAGCTTACCATCTCTTAAATCTGTTATTTTTCAGTGACATATTTGATGCCATGTTTCCAGTCACCTATATCGCCGGGGAAACGGTTATTCAGCAGGGTAAAAACATAAATAAAAAAAGTTTTGATTGAGTCAAAAAAAAAAAAAAAATTAAACAAAGGCTAAACATTTTTATTTGGTGCCTTCAGGTGATGAAGGGGACAACTTTTATGTCATCGATCAAGGAGAGATGGATGTGAGTATCTGACGTCACAGAAACATTCTGCTCTCCTTTGGATTAAAGGAACGATCGTTATCTGCTGGATCATTCAGGTGTACGTGAACAACGAATGGGTGACCAGCATCGGAGAGGGAGGAAGCTTCGGAGAGCTGGCACTGATCTACGGCACCCCGAGAGCAGCTACAGTCAGAGCCAAGACTAACGTCAAGCTGTGGGGCATAGACAGAGATAGCTACAGGAGAATACTGATGGTATTTAGCTTAATGTTTAAAGATTCTCAGCTTGATACGGTTTGTTTGGGGCTACAGTAACACAAAATGCCCTGCTCTATAGGGGAGCACTTTGAGGAAGAGGAAGATGTACGAAGAATTCCTCAGGAAAGTCTCCATTTTAGGTGAGTTTCTTCTGAGTATTTATAAATAGAAATGAAACATCATGTTTTCTCTGTGAAGATAAAAATAAAATGAAAAGGATCTATAAATTTCTTATTATCAGTCCTTGTTGCTCAGATCTTTTCTGTCATCTCGATTCCCAGAGTCTCTAGACAAATGGGAGCGTTTGACGGTGGCCGACGCCTTGGAGCCCGTTCAGTTTGAGGACGGACAGAAGATCGTTGTTCAGGGCGAGCCTGGAGATGAGTTCTTCATCATTTTAGAGGTATGGTTTGGTTTGATCACTCTTCCAAAGAGGTTTGATGATTTATACATAACAAAGTCCAAGAGTATAGATTATCAGGCTTAGATGTGCTGGTTAACTTCTTCTGTAGCTCATTTCTAGTAAAACTTTGAACAAAACTTTGTTTTTTTCTGGTTGAACAAATTAGTGCAAATATGCAACAATTGCAAATATCAAAGAAGAATTTATAGTCAATTCTGTCTCCTACTTTACAATCCACTGGTGCGTGTAGTTGTTTTTGTTTTTTTTGAACAAAGCTTTATTTGCTGCTTTGTGATGTCTACCTTCTGTGCCTGTGGGTCGCCTTGGTGTTGTTAGGGTTGGGTAGATATCTGATGGCAGTCACATTTAGTTAGTATATGTAAAAAAAATTTTTTTTAAAGTTTTGAGCTTAAAGACCTGTGGTGTGAAGGAAACCTAAGATAACATTTTAAAATGTATTTAGTCTCTAAATTTTAGCAATGAACGTGTAATAATCATTAATGGCTGAAAGTCTTCTCTGGCTACAAAGCAGCCAAATGATTATCAGGATTTCTTATTATGACATAACAAGTTCCATGTCAGACATCTGGACTGCGCAAAGGGGTGAAACAGCAATATTTTTGGATAAGTATAAGATGGATAAGATGAGGGATTGTCTTCAAGTCAGTGAGTCGATGCAATCGACTGGTTTTCCTTAGATAGAAAACATTGAATCAGTTTGACGGTATGATCTGGTTGAATTGTATCTGTGAAGTGCATGTGTTGTGAATTAGCGCTATATAAATAAACTGAAATGAATTAAATTCAACTTCCTACTAACCTGTGCATTGCTTCCACAACAGAGAACTGCTTTGTTTACCGTCACCTGCTTGTTACTAGTCAGATCTATCAGTGATCCTGATCACAGCTGATGTTCTCAGTGAATCTGAAGATCTTTAGATTGTTGACAAATGAAAAGCATTTAAAGGATATAAAAATCTTAAATAAACTAACTTTAAAATTATTATTAATTCATCTCTGCTTATAAAATGTCAATAACATTTTTCTTTTTGTGGAAACATATTTTCTTTCAAAAACCCACAGAAATAATTATGTTATTATGAATGTTAAAAAATGTCTCAGAAGAAGTGCAGATATTATTTCCTTTGACATCCTTTAGTGGTTTCTTTAGTCGCCTGCTCGCTTTGCACACAGGAAGAAACGGTGAACATATGTGAAGTTTAAGGATGGTGTAAATACTGTTTAAAGGCACTGCTACTACAGATACGCAGCCACCAACATGTGTTGGTTTAAGAGTTATTATATCAAGATCTGTTTTAATATATAGGGCTGCTGTGGTCTATTTATTTCTAGTAAAATGCAACTATATTTAGCATCCGCACAATATATTGCTGTTCAGAATCTTATAGAATCGGCTTCTTCTTCTAAGAAGACTAATGTTGCCACAACATTTATCATTGGTCTAAAAATACACTCTTGTTGTTTAAACATATTTTGCAGCTGTTGTGAAATACATTCCTTTGTTAAACGTAAGTTGTTGCAGTAGAAAACATGTTTGTTGCTCACCAGATTTTCTTGAAACCTTAGACTCTGTTGAACTGGCATCAGACTATTTTCCAATTGTTCTGTTCCCCTCAGGAACTGGAACCTTCAGCTGGAGCACAATAAGTTCTTCCTTCTGTATGCGCTGTTTATTCAATAGACACCAGAACGTTTAATGCTTTGATTGTTTATCCATTGACAGAAATGGTCAAAATGAGCACATTTGCACTATATGTGTGTATATATATTCAGGCTTTTTTAATTCTTTTTATTCTTATTTATTCTATTATTTCAGCCATACAGCTGAGATGTTTTTACTTGTAAAGGATGCTATTTGAGATGTTTAAATAATTCTAGTTCCTCTAGGTAAAAGGTAATAGCATTTTAGTGTTACTTTTGACCAATTATTAGATTAACGTAACAGATCTGATCCTTAACTGATCAGATATATTTCTGGTTCTGTGATGTTGGATTTCATCTAAAGAGGAGAATGTAAACTTTTCTTCACAAGGAATCCGTAGCTTTTCAATCTGCTTGTCCAAAGTGGGCTGCTATCAGATTTAGTGCTGTGTTGCCAGTTGCATTCAAGGGCAGTAATCCTGGAAGTTGCTGGTCTAGCGCCCCTAGTGGCTAAAAGTAACACTGTGTGAATTGGTGGCAGTGAGTTCATATATTTATTGAAATATTATCATGGTAATGCTTATTTAATAATTATTAGCTCTTATTAAACTGCTTCTAATGACAGTAATGTTAACTGGTTCATTTGATAAGGATGATCTGTTTGTGTTCTTCCCAGGGTTCAGCAGCTGTTCTGCAGCGTCGCTCTGAGAATGAGGAATTTGTTGAAGTGGGGAGATTAGGACCATCTGACTACTTTGGTAAGAATTAAAAGAACTTTTCCTAACTATTTCCATTTCTACAGTGATATTTGTTGATTTGGAACCCCTGCCTTGTGCTTGAATGAATATCAGTGCTTTACATTCACTGTAGAATAATATCCAACATGGTCTACATCAGTACATGGTTGTCTGCCCTGTAATGCACTCACTAATGAAACCATGTTGTCCAAATTTCCTGAACTTTATTAGATATGAGTTCAGACCCAGGCTTTAATAAGATGCTGTTTGGTCCCTCTGATGTTGTAATAAGGAGCGGTTTGGAGTGCTAGGCTAATGCTAGCAGCTATCCTCTCTATTTATGCACCTCTAGTTTATATTCTGCTCATAAAAATATTTTCCTTAGTGATGTTGCTGAACATGCTTATTAATTAGTAGAGGTGGGAATCATTAAAGATTTATCAATGCTATTCCTCTGAATGATAATCCCTGGCAATCCTGTATTGTATCAGGACCCTTATTGATACAATTTTTGTTTTGAATAAAAATAAATGAGTGTTTTCTTAAAAAAAAAAATGGAAAAAAAGCACATGAAATAAATAAGGAATGCATAAAATTACATACACTAAAATTCTATATCTGAAAAAGAATGTTTTATATTTGTAGGAGTGAGTAATATAAAAATTAGCAAAAAAGAAGGATTAAAAAATGCTCTAAATATGTTTAAAACCACAAAACACAATTTAAGTGTGACAGTGTCTAGTTGCTGCACAGCAAGACTGACTGACTGACTGACTGACTGACTGACCACCTCTGTGCTTTGGAAGCTGGAGGGATTCAGACTGACTGGTGGTCTTCAAACTTTTCAGTAAAGTCTTAAAGGAATAGTACACCCAAAACATGATTAGCCTTCATTTTCTACTCACCCCCATGCTGAACAACACTCTGGAGTACTTTTTTGATATCTCAAATGCATCTGGAGATCTGGGAGGCTTCTTGCTGTCTGCTGACATTCAAATAATGGAGGTCTATGGTGACCGAGACAGAAAGGTCCATAAAAGTCCACAAAAAACGTGTCAATATTCCTCCATACTGCTCGTCCAATGTATTCCAAGTTTCCTGAGTGGGTAGCGTCCAGAATTTACTCGAAACGAAGTCATTTAGAATGTTTTTAGAGCATAAACAGTAGTGTATAGGATTTCCTGAAAGCGCGCACATGCGCGATCACGACGCTACGGAAGCCGGGTGAGTAGAAAATGAAGGCTAATCATGTTTTGGGTGTACTATTCCTTTAAGCAACACAAAAAGCAGCTAAAGTCATTGCCAGTTACTTTTTGAAAAATAAAAAGCAAAAAAGGCTCTGAAAAGTTGCTAAATTTAGTGACAAAGTCAATTTCCAGCATTGATGACCAGACCAACATGGGAGCAGAACCTTAGCCCCTCCCATCAGTTCTCTGTTTCTTAAGGAGGAGACTAGCAGTATGTGTTTTATGAGCTGGAGTGTCTATCAAAAGGAAAAGGCCACCTTAATAATAACATTAAGAGGAACAATAAGGCTGAAGCTCGTCAGTCTGTTGGGACCGTCCAGCGCCATTTAGGTCCCCATCCCCATTAATTACTATATAAATAGTTTCCCTGTTGCATAAAGCCCTTTCTTTGTCTTGAGCGTCGGAATGTTTTATGGAAAGTGTTCTGCTGCTCTCTGCAGCCTGGATGTAGCAGAGCAGATGTTATATTGAGAGGATAACGACAAAGGGAGAATGATGACATGAAACAAATGTAACATTTATTGTATTTATTTAGTGCTTGATTCCCTTTCTGCCCAGGTGAGATCGCTCTGCTGATGAACCGCCCTCGTGCTGCCACGGTGGTCGCTCGCGGCCCGCTGAAGTGCGTGAAGCTGGACCGGCCCCGTTTCGAGCGCGTCCTGGGCCCATGCTCGGACATTCTCAAGCGCAACATCCAGCAGTACAACAGCTTTGTGTCGCTGTCTGTCTGAAGGGAGGAGAAATACTCCCCCCTTCTTTTCTGCCAGACCCCCCACCCCCCCTCACTTTCTCACCTTCTTCTCTTCTTTCAGACCCAGGGTCCACAAATGCAATTCGCTTTGTTTTGTTTTTTTTCTTCACTCTGCTCTCCTTTCTTTTTGGCTTTTGATATCTCTCTTCGTTTTACTCGAATCGTTTTGCCGTTACCACGTGCCACGCTGTGGTGACTTTCAGCCATTCACCAGCGCTTGTACCAGCTGCTGTACGCTACCTTTTAGACACAGTTACACCACATGTTACTTTTCTTTCATATATTGATATATATATAAATATAATGTTATATATATCTTTGCTGGTTACATTTTTCTCTTTTTAGATTTAAATTTAAAGCAGGAAATCTGAAAGACTTAAGGGTCTCCGACTGATGAGACAATCAGACCTTACAAGGCGCTTTTAGTGTTTCGGTTATTTTTCTTTTTCCAGTTGAGGCGAAGGCTGATTCTTCCCTCTTTATGTCAGTTTGAAGGTACACAGGAAAAAGCAGAAACATGACCGCATTTAACTGTCCTGCAGCGTTTTTAATCACTTCTTTTTGGAATCCGCTGTAATCTTAGGCTCCATTTGTTTCAGGGTGTTTCTTTGTTACCGTTTGATGGGGATGATGTAGACAGTGACGTGTCTGTTTCGCTTAGTTTGGATAAGTTTGTACAACTTTTTTTTTGTTATTTTTATTTTTTTATTGTGCAGCTACCAGGCTAGTGCCAAATGTTGATTATTGTCACAGCGCAGAGAAGCATAGCTGCGGAAATGTTCCCTAAGGCTCCAGCAGAAAATGGCTACTACCCTTAGAGTTCTCCTGATCGACTGAACAACTACACAAGAACTGCCTTGAATACTCGAAGGAGAAAAACAAAAAAAATAAAGGAGTATTATGTAAGATTCAGTATTCAGTTTGTTTAGAAAATACCAAATAACTTGGTCACTCTTCTGCTATTGTTTATAATCAAAATGTCATTATGGTATAGTTAAAATAGTTATATTATTATCATTTACAAAATGATAAATCTTATGGTTTGGAGTGAAATATGTTTAACTGTCTTTTGTAAACACTTATTTTTCCATAAAATCTATTTTAGGTGTTTGGTGCCACAAAGTAATACATAAATAAATGATTCTTCTTGTTGACTGATATCAACAGTATGTACTGCTATTGTGTAAAACATCATGGAAAAACTTTTTAAACGGAAAGACGAGTTACGGATTAGTTAAAGGAAGTATTTAGCTGTGAAAGCTGACGGGCAGAAGGAGCAGATGTTGACCGGAACGCTGGAGTCGGAGCGTCTCGTTGCCCGTTAGGGGAAAAGGTCTGTTACCATCAGAGTGGCTGCTGACCTGTTCTCTACGCTTTACCCGGCATGATGTTTTAAGGCATCCGTGTGAATGAAAGGTTGTATTTAAAGAAGCAGGAACTATGTTGAATGTTTTGTTTGTTATCCCCTTGCTTAACTGCTTCACCTCTATTTAGATAGCATCCAATGTTTTTGTAACATCTCTACCAAAATGAGACAATGTTGACCTAACTTCTCATTCCTGCTTCACTCTTTAGTCAGAACTGAATCTGCTGTCTGTTTTTTTTTTTTTGCTTGCAGTTGTATGCGCTTCAGTTTGAGATGTATGTTGAATTTGTTTTCTTTTTTTGGTACTGATTGCAGAGTGTTGAGCTCGATGAGATGAAGGTTTGAACCGATCATCTTTTCTCCCCAGCCCTTATCCTGGATGTGGTTATGGGTCGGTTGTGTCCACTGAAAACACATCCTGTTTATCCTCCGTCAAGGTTGAGGGATTCACCTTCTTTCAGAGCATTATTTTCATGTAAATAGCTGCATTATAGGTTTTAGTTGGAAACGTTTCTAGCCACACTGCAATCGTCCCGGTTTGCCTTAGCTTACCTGACCTGGGCTTACAGTAGTCGTCCGTCACTCCTGCTAGCCTGACCTTCAGAGAGCTTGACTGGTGTGCAGCGCGAGGGGCTGCAGGCCATCAGAGGACCATTCTTTTTCTATTCTAACCTGTATTTAGTTTGACCTCCTGTATGTGCAAAGATGTTTATCCTTTTGGTATAGATTGTTCCAGATGGCAGTTTAAGCAATAAAAAGTAAAAACTAATTCACCTTTGTTCCAGAATTATTTTCTTTTTATTTTCACTTTCAGTGATATGATGTTTTCTTTGTTTTTGCAGTTAGCTCTTCACTGCGGGACTTTGCTTTTGTTTTTCTATATTAAACACAGTAGCTTCTATATCCTAGATGGAGCATAATTCAGTGTAACGACTGTCCAATCAGCTTCCTGCAATTACTTTTGAAAACCTTGATAGACATTGTTAAAAATTAATCAGGTCATCAAAACATATTTGTCATGGTAATATTGACCTCTTGTAATTACAACACATTTTGAAAAGCTGAGGAGTTTAAAGATTGAAGTGTAGAACAAGCAAACAACAGGTGGAATGTCAACAGGAATAAGGCTAAAAAAGAGCATATAAATGTTATCTAGTTAGCTGTTAGCTAGTCCATAAGGTTAAATGTTTTAAAGCTACAGTGTTCATTTTCAGCAACATTTAATGGTCAGATTGAAGCTATATGCACTGCTCCCCCCCCCACCACTTCTCTCTCTCCAACAATATGGTGGCGGACATGGTAGAAAAAATGGCTTCTGCATCAACTAATGAGGAGTAATGATTAACATAAAGATTGAGACTTTCGGTTCTTAGATCAATAACATACTTGTGTATAATATACTCTATTTGTGTGAGTGAATCCCTGAATTATTACACACTCTAGCCTTAACCCTTTAAAGCCTGATCCAAGAATAAAACAAAACAGAAAATTACTTTATTTTGGTTTGAAGTCCTTATTTGGCCTTTTAACAAAATATGTAAAAAGAAAAAAAAGGAAATACATTTTTGATATTAATAATTTATTACTATGCGATAAGTCAAGATTATTTTTTGTGTAGTCTTCTACCCTCTGTTATCAGGTATATCTTATTGTGTACAATAGGATTTTGAGCAAAGTTTTTACCATTAAATTATGCAAAAGGTGTCAGACGCAAAACATTTCAGAAACCGTATGTATCAGATACGATACATTTGGCATTATAGGGTTAAAATGTATTTCTTTTTTTGGTTCTGTGTCATGTAAAAGGAAGTAACTTTGAGTTGTTTTTTATTTTCCTCTTGGCAAATCAGAACACATTATTCAGTATAGAGTTTCTCTGGAACACTTCACCCTATTCAGCCTCATTTACTATGTCAGACACTCCAGACGACAGGTGGAGGCATCAGCAATCACCTTGATAAAAGACCACCTGATATACAGAACACAGTTTGTGAAATTAAAGGGTCAGCTGTCTAATCAAGTAGTCAGGAGCACCACAGGGAATGGTACTCTGCCCATTACTTTTTACTCTAAACCTCTAACTTCCAGTATTGGGCAATAGACAGAGACCTGTCTTCTGTCTAGGTTCACCAGAGATGGGCAATAAGCTGAGTACAGGGAGCTGGTGGGCCGCTTTGTTGCATGCTTTGGTAACAGTCCTTGGATCTTCAATGTGTATAAAACAAGGAAGATGATGCAATGGGTCAAACGTTATTACCATATTGCAGCATCGGAGCAAATAGCTTGAAGAAACTGAGCAAGCTGTCAAAGAATGCCGTCTGTTCTGGGAACTCCTTTAGAAGATGATATTGCAAAGAAGAATTCTTTTTAAAAGGAAGAAGATTATGGAGAATCAAGAGCATCCTCTTCATCAGACTGTCAGACAACACGGTGTCTTCAGTCAGTGGCTCCAGATCCGCTGTAAGACAGACCTCTACAGTGGATCCCTCCTGCCCACACAGCTATTATCTCAATTAAAAAACTACTTAAAGAAACATATTACAGTTACATTGATATTTAACCTTCCTTCAGAATCGACAAAACAATTTTGGATTGAATTGGATTATTTCGTAAACTCAGTCATTGAATTAGGCAAGTAGATGTTCGAATTTTGTCACTTGTTTGTGTTATGAATTGTAAAATATGAAATACAAACGTTTGAGGTGAGTTATTGAAATACGTTAGATTTTGCAATTTTCTGTCTACACCCCTATTATAGAAGAAGACTGATATATTTACATGTTATTGAATCGTTTGCCTCTTTAGTCAGAAAGGATGCTGGATCACATCTGAACAGCAGAGGGCATCATTTAACTTCTCATGTCCTCCAAATCCTCCCATTGTTAAATCAGAACCAAAAAGAGAAATCAAACTATTTAAGAGATTTAAAATATACTTTAAAATATAGCTTTGTAAACTGAAAACCGAACTAAACTTTCTCTAAAGGGCAAAGGTTTGAGTTGGCCCTTCTAGGCACCGTTAGTCTTTATTTTTATTTTATTATCTTTTCAATTAATTGAACTTTGTTGATCTGGCATTAGAGAAATGTACCTCTGCATTTAACCCATCCATTAGGGGAGCAGTGGGCTGCCATTGTGGGGCGGCCAGGGAGCAATCGGTGGTTAAAGGTTTTGCTTAGAGACCCAGAGTGGCAGTCTGTGGGAGTGGGTTTCAAACTCACAACCTCAGGATTCCAAGCTGTATGCCATAACCACTAGGCCACCAATTTTTTACTTTTTTTTTTTTCTTTTTTCGGACACATCACGGGAAAAAAAAAACACTAATTGTTGAAGACATAATACTCCTCCTGTAAAGGTTTAGTGTTTGCTTTAGAGAGAGAAAGGATTTACACCTCCTACTGCTTTTTATTTACATGCTTCAACATCAATTGCTGCTCATTTCATGAAGAGATGACCAAGGCATCCTTATGAGCTGCAGATACCAGATCCATTTAAGGAAGCAGCCACTGAATATGGATTAAGGAATAGAAAAGAAGCCAAAAAATTAACAAACTAGGATAAAAGCTCTGAAAGTTGGCAAGAATTCACTTGATCTAATTTTCATTGGGTTATCTGCCTGTTTGCCATTGTTACAGATCTATTTTTTTATTTCTTTGCCCCAGCCTGCCTTAAATGTTTTAAAGGCATTTAGCTGCTGATGAAACAGGATTATAAGTCTGGAAAACAGGGTGGAGGAAATTTAAACGTCTGCTAAACAGCCTTTTCTCCCACTCATAGGTCCTCTCCCTTAATAATACTTGTTTTCTTTTTTTATTTAAAGTGAGAAACAGTTTCCAAAACGTGTCAGTTAAATTAAATTTATTTTAGAAGTAAAAACAAGCTGTATTTCCATGGTCCCACTGCACATCATACAAAACTTTACAAAAACACATCCACTGCAGGTCAGTGTAAGACTTTTACTTCCTTAAATAAGAATGAAGAGCCCTGGCAAAGATGAGAAACTCTTAAAAAACAAACACTGAATTGCAGAAACAAAGATTTGCATCAAGAACTGGCTAAAAGAAATAAGAATATTTTTTTATATATTCATCAATCTGGAGTGTTAATTGCAGAGAGGTCTGTTATAATAACAATAAATCTATTCATCACATTTATATTTGGAGGCTTCTTTATTTTCTTTATGTCTCCCTCAATTTTATAAAAGAAAATCTGGATTACAAAAAGCTCTACTCCGGTTCATCGGTTTCCCATCTCATGTTGATGTGGTAACTTTTGGTTGTCGGAACATCTGGTTGTAGAGACTTGTGTCAAATGTTTAAGGGATACCCAAAGACTAGCAATGGCCAATTAAGCCAAACCTGTGTTTAGCAGTGCTTTCCACCAAACCTGTGGAGAGTTGTGACTCATGGGTTATTGGATTCACATTGGAGGGAACCGATTCAAGACCCTGAAACCGAACTGGGAACCATACTGATGCACAGTTACAACTGCTGGTCTCAGCTCACTTGCAGTGTGATTGCACCAAAAACAGGAAGAGAGAATGTGATGTAAGATCAGCAGATGTAGTTAAAGGTATAATGGAGGATGTTCTTTTTCCAGGTGGATCATCTAAATAGGTGGTCCTCCTCATTGTTAATCATTCTGGTGATGTGTTTACGTACGGCTGTCCTACGTGCTCTTCCCCATTTCCACTTACCAGTCTGACATAGTGGAAAAATAAAAAAAATCTTCTTTTGGAGAGTAAGCTTGTATGGGCGATGCAAATGGCAACTTTGAAACAGAGCCTGCACGAGCCCATTTCTCCTCGTGCACGCTCTTGCAAGGGTTTAATAGGCGTTCCCTCTTGGGAGCGGGTACAGGGTTGTCCATGGGCTTTCTTTTTTAAAGTTTTTTGCTTAAAAAAGTTTTGCTGCATTGTAAGTTTTTGAAAAGGAAAATCTCAGTCCACAGTCCATCTCGGTTTTTCTTTCTTAACATAGATGGCTTCCTTCACGGCCCTCTCAAACCACCTATTTTCTTTGTCCAAAATGTGAACATTCTGGTGCTCAAAAGAATGTCCTCTGTCCATAAGATGTACCACAGGGGGTCCCTCCTCTGTGATGGGCCACGCATCTGTGGAGAGGTTGTTTGGTTTCTCCAACATAAAGATACAGACACCACTCCTCTCATATTTGGTCTGGGGGTTTATCCTAGGATGCTCTAGTTTCTGTTTAAGGGTCTTGTTTGGTTTGGCTTGTCTGTGTTAAATTAAAACATGACAAATGAAGGAATGATGTTTCCTTCTTTAATTGCTCCCTGGACCAAACCAGCAGTATGAATATAGCCTTAGTCTCTCCTTCCTTACTATGGGAATGATGTGTTCTCACATATTTGGATTTAGATTTGAATTGTAGGAAAACTAGCTGTTTCACAACATGTAAACCCACGGGAAACAGGAAGTGTTGATTTACTAATAAAAATGTTTTTGATCAAATTATGGGAGCCAATTAAGGAAAAGCTCTGATTTTCTTGTCTTACAGGTTACAAGATTTTTTTTTTCCAACATAGGGAACATTGTATTGATGAATGCACTCAAATAAAGCTGGATTTTTTTAGCATTTGTCAATGTGAACTACTGCTGCTCCAGAAACAATAATAAATGTATTCTTTTAAGTCTTTACACATATTTTTAATATGGGGAGGTGTATATTACTTATGATGATTTACATCATCACAGTGGTTTTAGTTTGTTATTTTGCAGACCTTAAATTAAATAATAAAGAGGAAAAATGTAGATAAAAAGTGATTATATCCCTAAGATTCTGTCCTGCAGTGGTTTATCCTTCCTCCATGTTGTGAACAAGTTTTTAATGAAGATCTCCGACCATGTTGTCCCTTTTGCTTGAATCTGATTGTCATCATTAAGTCCCCAAAGCAGCTTGTGTTAAACAAAAGCAGCTTAATCCCAACTACCTACTCTTTTTCCCCTCTGTGGCAGTCTGAGGAGTCACTGTGGGTTTAATAAAGTCTTTGGTGATGACCTCATTCTGACCTAGCCTCCTGATGCAGCGCTGGACCACTCTGAGGACCTTCTGTAACCTGCGGTCCAGCGCTAAGAGGTGGGGCTCGGTCAGGACCGGCCTTAAAACGTCCAACTCTAGGGACTCTCTCATCACATCGCTTAGCCTGAACTCCGGTCGGGCCAAGAGCTGGAGTCTCAGCAATGTAGATTGCTTTATCCTGGAAATAAAAACAAAAACATGTTTGGGAAAATCAAAGCCAACAAGAATGTGTTCATGTATTTGGTAAATCAGCAAACTTACATGCAGCACTGAGACAATGGAGCCAGGATGGACATCTCATCATGGGAATGCTTCCCAAACCTGGACACAAAACATGGTACCAAATATATGAACGTTGTGGAATCGCGCAGCATCATTCAACATTAATATCAGAGCCAGCCCAAGGCAGGAGGGAGATGCTTAGTGGAGCCCCAATAAGTTCTGAACTTTATATTTACAGTATTAAGCTTAAAAAATACATTTATCAAGAATGTGTCTCCTTCCAGATTATTATCTACATGCTAAGAGCTTTTAAGATAAAAAAAAAATCTGTATAGGAATTTTAAAAAACTGACAAATATACAAGGCAGTTGTGGTTTGTGTATAAATAGTGCAATTGGAGAACCCTTACTTTTCCACCCTTTATGTACATATACGTAGGAATATATCTTTATTTGCTATTTAGTCCCAGTTTGAACTGTCTAAACATTCTGCTTTCGGGGTTATCAATCTTAAAAGGGTCCAAGCGAAAAAACAAAGCAGTCTTTTTTTTGTGTTCACAGTTTCTGTGTCAGTGTTTACATGCCAGTCACATCTTTTTTTTTTTTTACCATGATGTAGAAGCTCAACACCCTTCTCTAATCTCTAGTTGCTAGCATGTTGCGAGTGCTGACTGTAAGGACATGATGCGGTCTGCTCATGTGCTCTTTGTTATCTGAGAACCATGCCTGAACTGAACCTCGCTGAGCCCTACTGATGAACTAATACCAGTTTAGTTTAACTTTAACTTCCACCTCCTGGCTTTTGAAGAAAAATCCAGAGAAAAGTATTAACTTTGCATGTTTCAAAGAATGGGAAAAAGTTGTGGCTTATACTGTAATTTAAACAGTTGCATTAGGATACCTCAAGCTTAGACTGTACACATCAATTAAAAGACACCAGATGGCAGACGTTTACTGGGCTCAAACTTTTTGGGGATGATTGTGTCTCTCTAACATATGGAGACCCTGGCTATGGAGACATATATCCTGCTCATGGCAATGTTTTAAATACACATTACATTAATTATCATCGCAAATTTAATAATCAGTCCATGATGAGACTTTGGATTGAGACCCAAGTTGGGCTGGCTCTGAAATTGATCGTCAGGAAGTCGCCTCACCCTCTTGCATTGTCCAAGTGAAGAAGTAATCCTTCATCTCCAAATTTGGTAAAAATTTCATAATGGTGTCTGTCCATGTTACCTGATATAAAAAAAAAACAAAAACCAACCTTTTGTTTCCAAAAAAAAGAGAGAAACCTTAAGATAAGATAGCTTACCTATTAGAAAGTCAAAGATGGACATATCTATAATGTTTAGGAGCCGGTTTCCAGAGTTATAAGGATATGCTTGTTTAACCGAATCACAGTAGAAAGGATTTAATTCCCACCTGAAAAGAAAAACAATGCAGAAGCAGAATCTTTATGGTAAAGAATTCTGGGCGAAAAAAAATCCAAAGTTTGGTGAGAGGTATTATTACTATTTCATTTTCCAGTAAATAAAAACTTCACATTCTAATTAGTTTTGATTTTCATAAATGATAAAAAAAATCAACATATTTGCATGTGCAAGTAATAAACCTAAAAATGAAGCCAAAAATGAAAATTCAGTCATATTTTTCTGTAATTACATTTAAAATGCAAACTCATACTTAGTTTAACTGCATGCAGAGGGATGTTTTAAGTGTTCTGGTCATGAATCTTCCGCTAATGTAACCCAAGGTCTCTCAGATTCTGATATTACATAATGATGAAATAATGTACTTCGATTACAGAAATGTTATTTTTCTGGCCTACACAATAAAGAGGGAGATTGCTGACTTAAAAGTTGTCCAGCGGATGGTCACTGACACTGTTTACATGGAGGGTAAGCCAGAATTGTTATGCGTGGAGTGGTAAAGATACCAGCTGTTCAGAGAGAGCTGTATCCAAGCATTTAAATGTAAAGTTTAATGGAAGAAAAAGGCGCATAAGCAACCAATATGCCTCTAAGACTTGAGAGGATGTAAACCAAAGTGTATTAAAGAGGTTAAGGGAGTTATTGCTTTAAGAGCCACCACACAAAGACATATCCAGGCACATTTACTGTTGTACCCACTTGGAATTAAAGACTCAAGGCTTCTGCCATGTGCAAAGTAGAATGGTGTCAGAGTCTCAAGATTTAGCGGTTTGGTGCAGAATCCAAGGTCATTCAGGTCTGATGTAAAGCTTTTAGAGTCGTGGATGAATTGGAAAGCCATGTTATCTGTTTTTAACAAGCCTAAAGTCAGAACAGAAGTTTTTATGCTCTGCTTCTCCGAATACAAGCTTTTTGAAAATGATTAGGAGTCCTATAAACTCCAGTCCACAGTGCATTAATACAGCAATTCATGCAGACGAAGCCATGACCAAGTATACAGCGAATACAGCTCAAAATATGGACATCTTTCTGTGGGCCAGTAGGACTGTTAAAAAATAGTCTAATCTAGGTCCTAATTTTTTGAAAGTCAAATAATTCTTATTCGCCATACACTGTGGTCATAAAATCAATCTATAATGTGCTGTTAAAAACTCTCCCTCTAAATATTTGTTCAATTGTATGAATCTAATGACCTGAAATAAATCAAAGAAGGAACATTTTTTCTCCTAGCACCCCGAGTTTCAACCTATACTGTTTTAACATAAAGTTCAAATTTAGCTAAACATAAAATCCTTCTAAGTGCAGTTGTTGGATCCTTACTGCTCCCTTCCGGAGAAGGTGTAGGAGCGTTTCCAGGGGTTCGGGATGGAGATGCGTGGAGCGACGGTGAGGCCAGGCAGGTAGGCAGAAAGCGAGCCCTCCAGCAGGTCTGGGCTCCCGCACACGGCATATTCAGTCTTACATACGTACAGGCACTTGGAGAAGAAACATGTGTTGTTTGCTGTTGTAAAAGCAAAGAAGGAGTTCATTATGTCAGCTTTTTTTGATCAGCCCTCCTATTTTCTTTTTGGTGCTAAAAATAATCAGTCAGAAAAACAGATGGACAAGAAAGATCCTATTTATTGCAAAGTATTTTGCTATTTGTTTATTATTAAAAATATTTTACAACTGTATTGTTTCATTGATGACAGAAACCTCACTCCAGTCAAAAAGCTGCACTCCAATTCGGTTTCTTTTTTTTCCGTAGCACCAATTTACAACTAGTCAATTCAATCAAGCCCTACAGACAGATTGATTTAAACGTTTCCTATCTAAGGAAATCCAGCAGATTGCATTGAGTTACTGACATGCAGCTATTCCAGCACTAGAACATTTAAACAAAATAGTTTCATATTTGGGATTTTATACAGTGTTTAAAAAAAACCATCATCTTCATTTGACTTATATATATAAACAAAGAAATAGTTGAATTGTTTTACGATTGTGTTTGACTGCAAGACAGAGTACATTTATGTAAATATATGGAGAAGTTTTTTTTAAAATATGATTCTTACAAATAAAAACCTTGAAATAGTTGAAATAGAATTTGTTCCTTTGAACAGATGGGTTCTTTTCACCCATCTGTTCTATCATCTTGACTTTCTAATAAATGAGCCATGCCCATTGGAGGAGGAGGAAAACTGCAGTCAGTGCCTGCATGCAGTCTGCTGGGTTTCCTCAGATATGCATTTTTTCAGCTTGAATTAAAAACTTGAAAATGTAAAAAAAAACAAACAAGTTTTGTAATTTTATGTCACCGTCATGCTCTGCTTTATTTATATATGTTTGTCACACAAAATCCTAATAAAATATGTTAACTGAAGTCTGTTGTAACAAAAATATCTTGTACCTGTTTGAATGATATGGTTGTAATTTTTTCTTTTTTTCTTTCTAAAAAAAAAGTTAAATCCATCTACAGCTGCTTTAGATATCAGCTGCCAGAACTCTGAAAAGGTCCAGGATGTGAGCTCACTCCACACTGATTTCAATCTCTCTGCATTGGCTTCCTGTTATTTTAGAGCAGATTTCAGGATGTTATTGCTGGTTCTTAATATTTATGCCCTTTATTCTCATCCTTCAGTCGCTAAAGACCCATGGGCTTTTGGAAGGGGTCTACCTAAAGAAAAAATGTTTTTCTCCTGTCATGATTTTGGTGCTGATGTATGGTGTGATTACTCATTTCAACCACCTGCTTATCTCCACCCAGCTCTCATTACCGCTCATCTGATCCACCTGCTTCAGTCTCAGTTTAACCAGCCTTCAGACCAGTCATCAGTGCTAGATTATTTTGAGCCTGTGGTGAGAGTTCTCTAGCGTACGTGTTTCTGATTGCCTGATCCTGACCTGTTCTGCCTCTGCACCTTTGAGCTGCCTCTTCCCATTCTAATCTATGCCTGACCTCTTCACACCCTGACTCCTGCTGGATCTCTGCCTGTCTGTGAATCGAACCTGGAACTGCTTCCCAACTCTGTTTTGGATTTCCCTTCGGCACCTCTTTGGACCTCTGATCACCTGGCTCTGACTGCTGAGCTCCTCATGGACACTGGCTTTGGCTTCACCCTCTGTAATCTCCTACCTTCTATCGTCTGCTTGGTTCTGATCTCTTGTTTGTCCTCTGACCTTCAAGACATCAGCTTCTGGGACTCTCTGTGTGGCATCCACCGCATGGAATGACAGCTGACCTGCTGGAATCAACCTCACCCTCTGGGCTCAAACTGATGCAGTTCACTGCAGTTCCATTTCCCATAAACGCTTTGAGAAATCTAATCTTTGTCCACCTGGAATACTGGGTCCTTCTGTTCCGAGCCTTTCATGCTCTTAATATTGCAGAACTTTTTAAGGGTTTTTAAAAGTAAACCAAACAAATATGTGCTCAATCTTGTATTTAGTTGACTGCAAAGTACAAGTTCTAATTATTTAATATTATATTTCTCTTTCAGTTTATCTTTTATTATCAAATAATTTTTTATAATCTTATTAATATTCATCTATCAAAATCTTGGAACATTTAGCCAATCCAGCTGATTTTCTGAAATGGAAATGGAACGAAGCTGATCGTGTTTTTATACCCACAAAAATTCCCACTTTTAAGATAAAGGAAATTGATCAATTTCTACTTGGAAAAATGAAAAATGGAAAAATGGAGTTTCTTTTAAAATCACCCTTTGCTCAGTTTCTCTATGGATAGTCATATTGTAAGTGTAGTCTAGGATTTAGTACCAATAGAACAATGTTTTTGACAAACACCAGCTGACGCTTTTGGACAGCAAGGACTTACTCAGTTAAAACATTAACAATGAGACCACTTAAATCAAATATTGTTTTTTCTTCAGATTATACATTTGTAGATCTGTGGCATGAGTGCTCTGTAAATGGCGAAATCCAGATGCCTATTGGTACCTGGTGAAGTGAAGAACACGGCTCGTAGGTCTTCGCTGTGGGCTACTTGCAGAACTTCTCCAGTTACATTCACTCGTCTGCCAGCCACTGGCGGAACCCTCCGGAAATCCAGGATCCTGTAAATAGGAGGTAGTTTTACAAAAAAAAATACGATTTACATAAAATGCCTTGCAAAAGTATTCTTTTTCCAAATTTGTTAACTTGCAACAAAAAACTGATGTATGATACTGACGGATTTTATGCAACCTGAACAGGGTTTAGATTTAGTTGTTTTAGACATTCTTTAACCATTACTAGTCACCTACCTGTGTGTTCTATATTCTCATTAAGAAACATTTATAAACATTAATCAACATGTGGAATAGTTTCTGATTTTTATTATTACATCATAACAATATTTTAACACCTCACAGAACAGCTTATGGTCCTGAATCGGGGGGGTAAGACAGAACTACAAACTACCACTGGTTTTATAGTCTCCTTGTCCCTCCTTATAGGTGGATGGACAAGGAGACTATTACACCGATGGTAGCTCAAAAAGTTCTGCAGAGATCTAAAGCTCATGTGAGGAAATGTGTTGACAGGTCAGCTATTGGTCTTACACTCCAAGGGCCTGTTCAATAATAATATTATTCAATAACTTGCAATTAGCAGACATGCTTTGACCAAGCAACAGAGATCGCTTGTGTGCAATCAATTACATTTCCAAAACTGGTTAGGACTTTTCTATTTAGGTGAGGAAATTGCATGTGGGACTTTGGGAATGGGTGCAAGAGAAAAGAAGAAGTTTTAAGCCTTAATATTTACAGTTAATCAGAATATACCAGTGGTAAAAGTAAAGAAAATTACTTATACTGTACTTTACATATAAATATCACAAAGTGGTACAAACAAAATTTGAAAAAATACCT